GTAGAATTAACTGAACGTAGGACTGGAAGTCATCAAGAAGAAGGGGTGGGTGCAAATTAACTTTGAGCTTAATATCCTTTGTTTCTATAACCGCGAACCAGGCCATGTTACAACCCTCGAAAGACCTAATTGAGGCGAGATTTATTCTGAAAGCATACTATTGCGAGGTTGCGTAACCTGACTCCTTACATATTTGCTAATCATCAGTATTGGTGTCAATATCCTTGCTATATCTTTCACAGCAATCAAATGAGCACAGCGTTTGGACTAACAATCCATTCGCCTCACTATCACGACACTCAATAAACGACATGTTTTTTCAAAACTTGCATGAACTTTGCATTAAAATTACCATTCGTGAACAAAAATTTTAATTGCAAGTTAATAGTTGGCGTCAAGGAAATTCCAACACGAAGCAATCAAGCAGGACTGGATCATTCAGCAGTCTGGATCAGTCTGAGGCAAATCCCCAAACAATGGTCGATCATGGGGCAAATCATTCAAGAAGCGTTTGATCAAAAATGAATCATACCAATTAGGGGCAGGCCACCCAAAGTTTCTCTGACTTGAAGATAGATCCCTCCAACGCTCAATCAGGATAAGTCAAGTCGCTTCACCGCTCTTTCAAGAACAAGCTACTCCAAAGAGTATACTGAAGCCAACCACCAAGAGTCGGTTCAACAATGATAAATCCTTTCATGGTACAAACTCTGGGGCAAGTCATCTCGAGATCGTCTCATTGGCAAGTTACTCAAGCAAGTTCATCTTCATCAACAATTGTTGAGTTCAAAACGAGTGTTGGGGAATCATACCATCACCTCACCCAAATAACCTTAACCTTCCGAAAAGGCCTTGCTGTCATTGGATCCTTCATCCCACAGCCTAAACCTGTCAAAACCTTGTAACCTTTGAACCTCCAAAGTCCAGTTCTTGCCTGGCAAACCTTTGTACCGGTCCCAACTGGTCAAACCTTTAAACCTTCAAACCAGTCCTATCTGGTCAACCCTTCGCTGAATACCAATTCCCGCCTGGTATATGTCAGCTTTTAAACCAGTTCTCATCTGGTCACCCTTCTTTTAGCCATTTCACCAGTTCTTATCTGGTAAACCTTATTCCAAAGTCCAGCTTCCATCTGGCAAACCACAAAATCAGCTCTCCTTTGAAAACTTAGCCTTTCGCCAACCAGTCCCATCTGGTCTACCCTCCGAATACCAACCCTCATCTGGTACTTCCAACCCAAAGTCCAATTTACATTGGCAACCACCAAAAGTCTGCCACGTCATCACCTGCATTCCCAGTCACCTGCCTGCATCCATCATTATCATATGCATCATACGCATCGCATTCGACTTCATAATCATCTTGCATTATATGCATACCCAGAATCATATCATACATCCTCAGCTCTTGCATCTCCGCACATCAATATTTGCATTGGCATTTCCATTTATGGAATATCATTATCATCAAGCATTCACATATGCGAGTTCAGATCCAGGATCAATTTTGAAGAGTTTCAAGATCATAATCAGCCCAGTTAGGGGCATTCTCCGCAGGACCGTGGGCGTTCCCCACGAGGTTGTACAACTTTTTTGCTGGACAAATTTAGGAGCTTCAAAGCAACCATCAGCCCAGTCAGGGGCATGTCATTCGAGACTGTGGGTGTTCCCCACGAAGTTGTGCAACTTTTGTTGGGCAGAGTTCAAGAGCTTCAACGCAATCAGTAGCCCAGTCAGGGGCATTATCTGCAAAGACCGTGGGTCCTCTCACAAAATTCAAGAATATCAAAGCAAAATTTAGCCCAGTCAGGGACACCTTTTCAAGACCATGGGTGTATCACATGATGTATTTCAACCTCGTGGTTAATCGAGATCTTCAGATCAACATTCAGCCCAGACAGGGGCATCTTCAGTGAAATTATGGGCGATCCTCGGTGATTTTGTCTCCAGCAGACTTAGCTTATCCTTCATCAGCGATAAGTGGCAATCTCTTCAGAGAAGCTTATCCATCTTCAGTGATAAGTGGCAATTTCTTCAGAGAAGCTTATCCATCTTCAAGTGATAAGTGGCAATCTCTTCAGAGAAGCTTATCCATCTTCAGTGATAAGTGGCAATCTCTTCAGAGAAGCTTATCTATCTTCAGCGATAAGTGGCAATCTCTTCAGAGAAGCTTATCTATCTTCAGCGATAAGTGGCAATCTCTTCAGAGAAGCTTATCCACCTTCAGTGATAAGTGGCAATCTCTTCAGAGAAGCTTATCTATCTTCAGCGATAAGTGGCAATCTCTTCAGAGAAGCTTATCCATATTCAGCGATAAGTGGCAATCTCTTCAGAGAAGCTTATCCATCTTCAGCGATAAGTGGCAATCTCTTCAGAGAAGCTTATCCATCTTCAGCGATAAGTGGCAATCTCTTCAGAGAAGCTTATCCATCTTCAAGTGATAAGTGGCAATCTTTTCAGAGAAGCTTATCCATCTTCAGTGATAAGTGGAAATCTCTTCAGAGAAGCTTATCCATCTTCAGCGATAAGTGGCAATCTCTTCAGAGAAGCTTATCCATATTCAGCGATAAGTGGAAATCTCTTCAGAGAAGCTTATCCATATTCAGCGATAAGTGGCAATCTCTTCAGAGAAGCTTATCCATCTTCAGCGATAAGTGGCAATCTCTTCAGAGAAGCTTATCCATCTTCAGTGATAAGTGGCAATCTCTTCAGAGAAGCTTATCTATCTTCAGCGATAAGTGGCAATCTCTTCAGAGAAGCTTATCTATCTTCAGTGATAAGTGGCAATCTCTTCAGAGAAGCTTATCTATCTTCAGCGATAAGTGGAAATCTCTTCAGAGAAGCTTATCTATCTTCAGCGATAAGTGGCAATCTCTTCAGAGAAGCTTATCCACCTTCAGTGATAAGTGGCAATCTCTTCAGAGAAGCTTATCTATCTTCAGCGATAAGTGGCAATCTCTTCAGAGAAGCTTATCTATCTTCAGCGATAAGTGGCAATCTCTTCAGAGAAGCTTATCTATCTTCAGCGATAAGTGGCAATCTCTTCAGAGAAGCTTATCCATATTCAGCGATAAGTGGCAATCTCTTCAGAGAAGCTTATCTATCTTCAGCGATAAGTGGCAATCTCTTCAGAGAAGCTTATCTATCTTCAGCGATAAGTGGCAATCTCTTCAGAGAAGCTTATCCACCTTCAGTGATAAGTGGCAATCTCTTCAGAGAAGCTTATCTATCTTCAGCGATAAGTGGCAATCTCTTCAGAGAAGCTTATCCACCTTCAGTGATAAGTGGCAATCTCTTCAGAGAAGCTTATCTATCTTCAGCGATAAGTGGCAATCTCTTCAGAGAAGCTTATCTATCTTCAGCGATAAGTGGCAATCTCTTCAGAGAAGCTTATCCACCTTCAGTGATAAGTGGCAATCTCTTCAGAGAAGCTTATCTATCTTCAGCGATAAGTGGCAATCTCTTCAGAGAAGCTTATCTATCTTCAGCGATAAGTGGCAATCTCTTCAGAGAAGCTTATCTATCTTCAGCGATAAGTGGCAATCTCTTCTGAGAAGCTTATCCCCCTATCATCCTTTTTGGTGTTAGGGTCGATTTTGTTTCGCTCCATCATCCTCTTGGTGATGGGTCTAGCATCCTTTTGGTGTTATGACTACCGTCTCCGCTCCATCATCCTTTTGATGATGGGTCTGGCATCCTTTCGGTGTCATGATTAGCGTATTGTCCATTATCCTTTTGGTAATGGACTCCTTACATCCTTTTGGTGTTAGGGTTGATTGTGTTTTGCTCTATCATCCTTTTGGTGGTAGTGGCCGTGGGTGTTCTATCCCATCATCCTTTTGGTGATGGCGACCTGTTGCTATTTTTCCACAGTTTGCTTAGAATTATACCTCATCCAGCGTGTTCAATTCCCGAGCATTTCTTTCCTTTTGGACAAATTCAGGGTCTTCTTGTATCTAATTGACTTCTACCCTAAAATGAACGCCATACAGTTGTTCATTCCCTCAGGTTCAAGTCAATTAGATAGGGGCATCTGTCATACCCTAAATTTGTCCTATCTTTTTCAAAATTTTCATTCGTCCGACTTTATTCTTTATTTTGCATTGCTTGTGCAACTTAAAGTATTTTTCACTTTTTAGCCCAATAAATTTGCGCCACGTGGCATCTTTTTATTTATTTTTATTTATGTGTTAACATTTTATTTTAATATTAATTAATTAATTAATTAGTTTAGAATAGGATAGAATTAGAATTAATTAGTTAGAATTTAAGCTAGAATAATAATTAAAATTTAGAAGTAGAGTTATTAATTAATAGATTTAGAATTTAAAATTTTATTCAGACGAGATTAATTGGAATTAGAATTTTAGATAATTAGTTGTAGTTATTAATTAGTTAATTTAGAAAATTAAAATTAATTAAAAAAAAAAAAAGAAAGTTGGAATTGAGAGAATACGGTAGCAATTGGCAACTAGGGTTTCGAATTTTGGCTATAAAAGAATGTTACTATTCATCAGGACAAAAAAAAACCCCTGGCCGTCAAACCCTAACATCAAGTTCTTCCTCTTCTCCCACCCTCCGCCGCAAATCACCACAGCCAATTACTCACCTCCGATCCATTATCCAACCATGGACAACCTTCAACCGACCTCAAAACCATTTAACCACCCCAGTAATCCTTTCAACAAGCCGTTTTTCTACACCAAAACACCCTTCACCACGTGATCATCCTTAAACATCACTGATCTACCACATAAAATTGGACCCACTTTTCTCATTGAAAACTTTCAGGGAAAATCACTTCTAACCCGTTTCTCTCCCCTTCGCCATATACGTACTTATTCTTCACCGTGAGACACTGTTCAAATCCATATCTCTTTACACACTCACTCACTGCTCTCCCTCAACTCCGCGGCGTAGATCCGGGGAGTTTTTGGGAAACCCTAACTCCGTTCAACTAACGCCGCCGCATTTTCTTCTTCACCTCCGAATCTTCAAGCTATGGCAGGACTTGCACCTGAGGGGTCACAATTTGATGCTGGGAAATTTGATGCCAGAATGAATGACTTAATGGCTGGTGATGGAAATGAGTTCTACACTATTTCTGATGAGGTTTGTGAAAGTTTTGATGCTATGGGCTTGCAAGAGAATCTCCTCAGAGGAATTTATGCCTATGGTTTTGAAAAGCCATCTGCCATTCAGCAAAGGGGAATTGTTCCCTTCTGCAAGGGACATGATGTTATTCAACAGGCTCAGTCTGGAACTGGAAAGACGGCAACTTTCTGCTCTGGTGTTTTGCAGCAACTTGACTATAATGTGACCCAGTGCCAGGCATTGGTTTTAGCCCCAACTCGTGAGCTTGCTCAGCAGATTGAGAAGGTTATGCGGGCCCTTGGAGACTATCTAGGTGTTAAGGTGCATGCTTGTGTGGGAGGTACAAGTGTTCGTGAAGATCAACGCATTCTATCAAGTGGTGTCCATGTTGTGGTTGGTACTCCTGGTCGTGTGTTTGATATGTTGCGCAGACAGTCTCTTCACCCGGATTACATCAAGATGTTTGTGTTGGATGAGGCTGATGAAATGCTCTCTCGAGGTTTCAAAGATCAGATCTACGATATATTTCAGCTGCTGCCAGGTAAGATTCAAGTAGGAGTTTTCTCTGCTACAATGCCTCCTGAGGCACTTGAAATCACAAGGAAGTTTATGAACAAACCTGTGAGGATCCTTGTGAAGCAGGATGAGCTCACCTTGGAGGGTATTAAGCAGTTTTATGTCAATGTTGAGAAAGAGGAATGGAAGCTGGACACACTCTGTGATCTTTACGAGACATTAGCAATCACTCAGAGTGTCATTTTTTGTTAACACTAGAAGGAAAGTTGATTGGTTGACCGACAAGATGCGAAGCCGAGACCATACAGTCTCGGCTACTCACGGAGACATGGATCAGAATACCAGGGACATTATTATGCGTGAATTTCGGTCTGACTCTTCTCGTGTTCTCATTACCACTGACCTCCTGGCCTGTGATATTGATGTGCAGCAAGTGTCTTTGGTCATCAACTATGATCTCCCAACTCAACCTGAAAACTATCTTCTCCGCATTGGTCGTAGTGGGCGATTTGGAAGAAAAGGTGTTTCGATAAACTTTGTGACATTGGATGATGCTAGAATGCTGGCTGATATCCAGAAATTTTACAATGTGACTATAGAGGAGCTGCCATCAAGTGTTGCTGACTTGCTCTGATGAGTTGCGACTCCGCCGAAAATGTTGCTGACAAGCTGTTGGAGTAGTTGGTTGCATTATCATGCCTCACAACGTGTTCTTGCATTCTGCACTTGTTCAATCAAGACAGGGTGACCCGAAAAAGAAAGGCCTGTTCAAGCATCACAACGACAACCGCGGCTGATATCATGCCGAGTTCTACTCAAAAGGGTTCCATTTTAAAAATCCCACAGTCATGATGATTATTCTGTTATTAATTTCACGTGCAGGTTCTGAAGTAGATTCGATACTTGAGTCGACTACGTCCAAGATTTGAAAGCAAGATGGTCCCACTGGAACAGCGATATCCCGATGGCAGAATCAACAACAACAACAATTTTTCTTTTAAAGAACTTCACAACAACACCGAGCAACATCTCAGTAAGCACACACCAGATTCAAACGTGGTAGCAACCTTCGGATTATGGTCTAAAAAGCAGGTGGCAATGAAGACCACACCAGTTCCACAGCTCTTCCGCTCAACGACACCGACAAGCAATCCAGGCAGGGGATCTCATGTGCAGCTAAGGTTCGAAATCAAAACCACCACTTTTCAAAAACGAGACTCCGATCGGTAACGCATCATTGTAGCATAGTTTGTTGTTTTAAGATAATGTCCCAGAGTGATAATACTCAAGTTTTAGAACTTCTTTCATGAGATTTTGCGGTTAATTAGCATAACTTTTTCGATTTGATTATGACTACTGTGCTGGATTGGAGGTTTTAGTGGAACGTATGCTGTTGTGTGTTTTTTTTTAAGCTTGCATATATTCCATCTTTGTACTCAAACTCTCAAATTTTGATTTTATTTTTTTTTCCTGTTACAGTAAGCTATGGTTGGATTTTTCATGATGATGTTCTAAGTTAAATCAATTGATATTTTTTTCTAATCAGTCCATTACCATTAAGTTTTCACCGTTTCATTTATCTCGCATTGCTTGAATTTGTTCCGGTTTACATTTCGACGCACTGCCTCTTGAGTAAATTTTCTTAATGTTTAAGTGTGTAATGTGTGTCCGTTGTGCTTTCATTATGACTTGGGCCTACGCATACGGTGTTGCCGTATTTTGTTTAGTGTGTTACAATGTTGAGATTTCGATTGTTATTTCTCTGTTGAAAATTTTTAAACACAGACATCATGCCAATTATGTTTTGCTTTGACAGAAATCCGCGTGTGTGATTTGTATGTCATGTGAAAACCGTGTTGGATTTTGGCATTGGTTTTGGTTAGTGTTTTTATCATGTTAGTTTATAGATTGAATTATGCAGAACAACTTGTAGCAGGTTTGGATATTAAGCTTTGGATAGAAGTGTTAATGTGGTAATGTCCATTCATGGTCCTATGTGTTTGTCAATTAGAATAGCATATAAATGTTGCATGGAAATCTGTACCGAACTGGTTTTTTGGATTAATATATTTGCTTGCCACTGTTGTTTTTGGTTTGAATATCATATTGGATATATTTTTGTGGATCGAGTTGGTTATTTAAGACGTTTAGTTGATTAAAAAACAATGGAATTTTTATTGAGTTTTTTTAAATTTTGTTTTGGGATTGTTTCTTGACACATACTAAAAGCCCATTTAATCCTTTCTATTTGCTCTCTTTATTTCATAAATAATTTTGCAAACTTTGTGGATATTTCTTTAACTAATTTTATATATCTTTGTAATTAACTTTATTACGGGAAACCTTGTAAATAATTTTGATTTGGTTATTGTTCGATCTTCATTGAATTAATCGGACTTCAATTTGTGGTTTTGGTAACTCGATACCCTTATGCCATTGAATTTTCTTACGCTTTAAATGATTTTCTCCGCATTACAAGACACACTCATTCAGGTAAGCTTGATTTATCTGTTTCATTATATTTTATCCCCCACTTGATAACAATGTACCCCTTTTCCTCCTAAAACCTCGGTCTCGTACCGAGTCCTTTTTCAAACCATCTTTTAAATCATTATCTTTGTATTGAATTAAAAAGAGGGGATTAAGTGTAGACTTTCTTCCTCTCCGAGTGTTGGGATGCCCACTGTAGTGAGGGTGGTTCTGACACTCGTCTTTCAATACGAAGGCGCTTCCTGTCCATTTTCAAATCTCATCTCCCTAAAATCAGTTCTTTGTATTGAATTAAACGAGAGGATTGGGTGTAGACCCCTTCTTCTTCGAGCGTAGGGATGCCCACTGTAGTGAGGGTGGTCTCGATGCTCGGCTGTCAATACAAAGGCGCTTCCAGCATTTTCACACCTAAAACCTCGTTCCTGTACCGAGTGCATTTTCAAATCTTTTCATAACAAAAACTTGAATGGTCGTGGAGTGGTTAGGCGTAGGCCTTCTCCTATCCCGAGTGCTGACGTTTACCGTAGGGTTCTCTGTCGCAAAGCACTTACCATTCAAAACCAAAAACATCTTTAATAAGAGAACGAAGTTCTCTTTGCATTGAATTAAAGAGAGAGGATTGGGTGTAGACCTCTTCTTCTCCGAGCGTAGGGATGCCCACTGTAGTGAGGGTGGTTTCGACGCTCGTCTTTCAATACGAAGACGCCCTCGTTCGCCACACCTTTTTATAACAAAAACTTTGAGACAATGAATTGGGTACTACCCGTAGGGGTTACTATCCGAGGACCTGTCTCGCCCCTTAAAAAACAATCCAATCAATCAAACGTGACTTCTTGCCCCGCGTGGCGAAAACTAATCAATCTTTCAAAAGGATATGTTACGTCCGTTCTACCGCAAACAGGTAACGCATAAGTCTCCTCACATGCGAGCAGCAAAACACCTAAACTGCTAGAATGCGCACGATAGCATCATCCATAAAAAGTATCAACACACCGTAGGCCGAACTACGGCTGCTCTGATTCTTTACTTTCTCAAGTAAAGATACGTAGGCACAAGGGCCACAATCCTTGCCGAGCACATTCCCCCCATATCTGTAGTTCCCCGAACTACGTCGACTCTGATTTTCTCACATCCGTTGAGAATACGTAGGCCTAGGACTGCGAAGTCCTACCGAGTCTGTTCTTTCTCTTTTCTTCCCTGTTCTCTCTCCCCTCCTAATTTTCCTGTTTCTAATCCTTCTTTTACCCAGTGAAACACTCTTCTTATAGCATAATATTTAAGCAAATAAATTCACACATCGATAAACAAAAGGTTCCCATCGAGTACGATGGATGCGAGGGGTGCTAATACCTTCCCCTCGCATAATCGGCTTCCGAATCCGTTCTTGGTTGCGAGACCATCTTATCCATCTCTTTCTTAAGGTTTTCTCGATATTTTCCTTTCCCCTCATGGGATAAATAAAGTTCGGTGGCGACTCTTCTGTCCTATCTTTTCGCCTCCCCGTCGTTGCGCGACGCATTTTTCGAGTAGCGACAGCTGGCGACTCTGCTGGGGACACCTAGCAAGCCAAGCCTATTTTGTTTATCGTATTTGTGTTTTATTTGCTTTATTCGTTTATGCTTTGATTCTCTAACCTGTTGGGTTTATTAGATGGTTTGTGAGATAAAGCTTTCTACCCGAGCTTTCGAGTATACACTAAGATTAGGAGGTGGTTTCTTTCTGATTTGCGAGACTTAGGACTCGTTGAGTTGGATCGAATCCCACCGCTCAGATGAGACCCCGTAGGGATGATTATGTCGTACGTGTAGTCGTAATGACGTTTTTATTTCCGACGTGGGAGTCCGTGACTCTGAGGACCTTTTAGAACCTTATTCCAAAGGTTGCTAAAACATAACTCCGTGTTCATCCTTTGAAGGGATTACCGTCTTACGAGTAGTCGTTATGATGGAAAACTTTTGAGGGTTAGTGCATGGGACTTTGCTTAAGGGCCTTTGGGATACCCTCTTATAAACCAACAGATAGCCCACCCGAGGGGAGAGACACCTTTTGTTGTTGTCTTGCAGGATTTGTGACTTTAATCGTTGTTGTGGATCTGTTCTCGTGTGCACTCATTGCATTGCATTTGCATAAGCATATCTGCATCATTTGGCATTTTCTTCCCTAACCAGATACCAAGAGCTTACCCGTCCTCTGTTCATAACCCGCAGTGATTTCCCGACACTCCCGTTGAACTTGTGAAGAGCTGTAAAGAGTTTGAAGCAAGGGGAACGTAGACACCTTGAAAGTTCAAGTCAGACAACGCAAGCCGAGGTAACTATGGAGCAGAAGTGGACTATGGAGCAGTGTTGCACCCTAAAATTTGACCAACCGATTCTCCTATCTGACTCATGGTTTAATTTCATATTCACAGCTCAGATGTACGATTTTTGTGCACAATCAGGGGATATCAGAGTTTACAGCTTGATTTTTGTCTATCAGATATGGCAGACCCAGTCCAGATTATCGGGGTTTTATTTTCGGGAAATTGTGCGCTCCTCGGTGATTTTTCAGTGATTTTGGGATATTCTGATGCCCGGGGATCTCCGTTCGATTCAATCTGGTCTCGTGCGTTCTTTTATAGGGGTCATTTGCATTCATCTGCATTTTTAGGATTTAACAGGCTTTTGTGAATTTTTAACAGGCTTTATAGATTTTTCTGGAATTTAAATAGGGCTTTTGAATATTTTAATAGCTTAATCCTCTTTTTAGAATTTTATAGAATA